GCAGGGAAGCAGGCTGGTTGCCGGGAAGGGAGCCGGCGTGCCCACTCGCAGTGCGCCTTTTTCGCAGGCTGCAGGTGCTCCTGATGGAAGAGGTTGCCGGTTGCGCCACAAGCCCTTGGGGGCCTCCTCTGGGCTTGGCTCACTTTGCAGGACAGGGCTGAGGACAAGAGGAAGTCTGCAGTGGCTGGGACAAATTCCAAAAGGATCCATCCCATCCTTAATGCAGACACCATTTTAAAGCAGGGAATTGTGCCTGAAAGGTTGGGAAATGAATATAACTTGCAAGCTTCATAACCAAAACATGGCACACAGCCATCTGACAGGGACCCGTAAGACCTGTGCCTAACATTACCCAGCCGGCACACTGCCCATAGTGAGCCAGGATCCCACAGCCACCAAACCCTCCTAGTCCTCACAGGGCTGTTGTGGATAGGACTCTTGCTCGATAGGATTTCCCCCCTTAGGATTTGTTGCATTTCTATAAAGTGTGAAATCACCTAAATCTGCTGATGCAAACCTTTTTGGCAACATCAACAAGCGTACACGCAGCCCAAAGCTCAGAAACAGAAGGAAACTGCAGCTATCCCAGATTTGATCTGGATCTGCACTGTATGCATGCAATTATTATTTAATTTATACTCTGCCTTTCTGTCCAAGGTGATGCTTTATTAATCTGCATTTGTTATTGTTTCAGGACAAATGCTATACGAATGCCTCTAAGTAGCAAGAGCATGTCCTGCTTAGCTCCCTTCTTTCCTTCATGTGGGACTGTGCAAAGTTCAGACTGACAAAGCCTGCCTAATAAGGAGCATGTTGGGATTAAAACTAGAGCGGACGGGGTGGCAGATGTGGCAGGGACCGCAGAGGCGCAGATCATACAGCAGCCTTTACCCGAAAATGAAAGCATTAATTTCCCTGCCGGAGACCAAGGAGCATTAAGGGGCTTTCTGGCGGGAGAGCCGACGTGTAAAGCTAGTGGGGAAATGCTGGCAAGGCAGTCTGGAATTAGGGGCTTGTGCTATTTAGGTTGATCCGGCCCCCTTGTCTCCACCTTTGGGATTCCTGTGCTGAATAATAAGGCAACTCTGTTTTTAATATGGAACTGTAGCATTCATTCAAAATGCATCTCCAGACACTTAGAGAGCTAATAGGGTTGGCAGAATCATCAATAATGCAAGGAAAAAGGCAAGGAAATGGATGAAACATATCCACAAGGAATGCGCTAGTTGATATTACCATATATCGGGCCACCCAGGAATGGGCAGGTAGATACAGTCCAGATGGCAGAAAACTCTCCCCCAAAGACAAGGAAGCAGAGGGATTTGTGGAAAGTAACTTAGCTGATTAGCTGACAAGAGCAAAATATAATGGCCAAACAATTAAGTTTCATCAGGGCCACATGAATTCATTCACTGTAGCACATACATGCAGAAAATAAACTCAATATCCTGAGAATCTTTTTAAAACAGAAGTTTCTAGGCCTCATGACGGCGCCACATATGTTTGATGGAATATCAGAAAAGGGGCAAGATTTTATTTTTTTTCGATTTATATCCTGCCTTTTTCCTACAAAGGGCTCAAGGCAGCTTACATCATCTCTTCTCCATCTTATCCCCACAACAACAACCCTGTGAGGTAGGTTGGGCTGAGAGTCTGTGACTGACCCAAAGCCACCCAGTTGGCTCCATGGCTGAGTGGGGACTAGAACCCAGATCGTCTGAGTCCCAGTCCCGTGCTCTTAACCACTACACCACACTGGCTCTCAGGGCTTGGGCTTCGGTGCCTGTAATACAAGGTTTTGAGGGTGTCCCAGTCTGGGGATTAGACAAGAATTATTGTCCATCCTCAAAAGGAACAGAGCAGGTGCAAACTCCAACCAGACACAACTAAATCCACTGCCACCTTGTGACCAAACTGCACAACAACACTCTCCCCATGGTGCCTCTCAGGGTGTCTTGCCATTTCCCAGGACCAGCAAACAGATGCCAATTTGCATAGAGTATGCAGGTCACAGAATCTCAGCCTGGTTTTTTTTTTTTTTTAACCTACTATCTTTGTTTGGGTTTTGGAAAATACAATTCTATTAAACAAATACGGTCCACTTGAGAATGATGTCAGAATGCAAAGATGCCTCAAATAGTCAACACGTTTTGCCTACCATGAGACTTAAGCTGGGTGCTCAGAAGTGCACATGCACAATCCTGGTTTACTGTTTTATGTGAAATCAGACCAAGGACCTAGAGACACCGTACAGTCCACCCATCCAGCTCCTCTGCAGTCAAGACAAATGCTTTCTCGAGTTGAAAAAGACTTATTTTCCAAGTTCATAAACCTTGCTTATGTTTTATGCTACTTTTAACTCTCTAAGTCCTTTTAAGTTTGTTTGAATATTTTTTGGTTTCGTTGCTTTGCTTGTCTGTTTATGATGTTTATAAGTTGGCCAATATGAAAAAGTTCTCTGTGTAGCTTACAATCAAAGATAAAAGGAACAGGTTCTAATTTAATTGCTTTGTTGTAATTTTTTGAAAATACATGCTTTGAAGCATGGGATACTTCAGACACCAGTTCAGACACCATTTATTCAAAGAAATGAATAAATAAGATCTTTTTCTGGAATTGGCCGAGAGACCTCAGGGTAGGGCTTTGGGTTAGAAGTCCAGGCCCCACTCAAATGATTGAAGAAGAGCGTTCCCAGATATAATCCCTCAGTTTTGTACTTCTTGATGCACTCAAGACCCCGGCACTATCAACAAAATCCTTGATCGAGCACCTCCAGTGACCTGACCGGACTGCTGGGCATCTGAGCTACTCTTGCCGCTTGCGCAAGGCATGCTCTGTGGCCCATGTGGCTGTGCTCTCCCCAGGTTTCTCTCTCTGAGCCACAGTTGGGTGGTGTTGAATAGGCTGACGCTATTATGCAAAGTAATTGGCATGGGTAGGAGAAAATAGCTAGAACCCGGAGCAGGAAAAATCCAGGCAAGCTACACAACTCTCCGGAAAAAGTTCTGGCACTTTGTTGCAACTGGCATCCTAGCAGAGGAAGGGGCGGGTGGAGAGCAAGGGTTTCATTGTGGAACTAAACTTGTTGCCAGGCTGATCCTTGGAATTTCTGCGGTAAGCATTATGAACTGGGCCAGCACATGCCCCGAGGGTCTTTCTTCATCCCAAGATCTGTAGCCTGCCTTCACACACTCAAGATTAAGGGCTTTTCTACGCGAGGCATTTATCATGCGTTCATGATTCTTTATGGTTGTTTAGGGGCTCTTTAGTTGACCTTATGATCCTCCAGTTTCACTTTGGTGTTTTCAGAGCACTTTCTCAGTCTTTTGTTTTTGTTTTTTTCATTTTGGGGAAATGAGCTGGTAAATTACAACTGGGAGAATAGACATATTTGTGCTATACCACTATGAGGGAGTTCCACCAAGGGACTATGTAGCAGAAAAGCAGGAAGGGAAGAGCTGATTATGCAGAGCTTGGATCTCAACACTGGAACAAAACCAAAGTAGATGAAGTGTCTAAGAGCATATCAAATGCCTCCTGTTGAAAAGCTTAAAGGGGCAGACGGCATCTTCCTTCCTTCCTTCCTTCCTTCATGGTGGGAGTGAAGGGAATAACTACCTAAATTCAAGCGCAGTCCCAACTTTATTTATTTATGTATTATACTTATACCCTGCCCTTTTTTCTTTCAAGGAACTTGCCTAGTATCTCTTTGGAGCCCCGACTAAGAATGGATTTTCTCCCCTTCTGCCCATTACAGCTAAGCCAGCAAGTTAAAGGCACTTCAATCCACTTATCACCTTCACCCTCTCCGTTCCTAGACAGCCTTCCTGTTCTGCATCCACCTCCTTTGCCCCACAGTCAGTGTTCATCCCCTACAATGTGGGAGGCAATTCAGCCATCGGGCGATGCACCTCTCTTGGTCCCTCCTTTCACTCACCCCCATCAGTTCCACTCCCTGGATATGTTTCCCTGCCTTTGACTTGGGGGTCTCTGAAGTTGCAGGTGAGGAAATTTCCCATCTCTCCACATTCTGCTGCAAAACCAGGACTGAAGCTTTTCATCCTCAAAAGGCCTGTTGGGTCAAGGCAAGTCCTTGTGTGGCCCATAAAAAGTGACAGCACCGTGATTAGAAACGACACAGTGAAAGACCAGTTCAGTAACCACAATGGGCAGACTGAAGGGCTTCCGCTTGCTCAGCCTTAGGGCCGGATAAGATTTGGGGGCCTGGCAGGTGACAGCAGAGTGATCAGGGAAAGTGTGTAAAAGACCAGCCCCAAAGACTGGGCCATTTTCAGCAGCACTTGGAGGGCTAACCTATGCCGTTCTCATTCTGTGGTGTCAGGCAGTAAGGGGCCATTTTCAGTTTCTCTCCAGAGAGGTTTCAGCTAACTGTAAAGTTCATTTTTATGCACAACCATAATAACTACAGTGCTGATTCTTTTCAACTGAGTAAATGTTGACAACACAATTCCCCATTCCTGCTCGATGACTCTCCAGCCACCAGTACCAGAACCTGATGCCAGCAGCATGACTTCCCCGCACATCCCCCATGGATGTGGGATCTCCTGAGTGAGAGATGGTGTCATGATTGTCCAGACACATGCATGGGCTCCTGCGTCCTAGCTCAGTTTTCCAGGTCCTCCATGGGTCAGAATCGGTTGTGATCCAGAAATGTATGAAAGTATTCAAAAAAGGCAGGGAACGGATCTTTCAGAGGTGTCTGAACACCTTCTAAGCATACAGGGGCTAAGATAAACCTGTTCCACAATAATTAAAATATACATATATTCCAGCTGTGTATGGTGCCATTATAGTCTTAATATTTTATAGGATATATTTTACAAGCTTGCTTTGGTCTTTTAAATGTTTTGCAATGGCAACCTAATCAGAATGTTGAGGAGAAGGTGAGATGCAAGAAGTACATAGACGTAAATATTTGACTGTTCGGACACTGTCTGTTCCATTAACGCTTCCAAATCTGTCTTTTCCCCTTTCTCCAGTATTGGATAAATGAATACACCTCCACCTTGGGTATTGGCGTCTTCCACTCTGGAATTGAGATCTATGGCAGAGGTATGGAGCTTTCTGTTAGTTATGCCTGAAACAAGTGGAACCTGCCACTGTGTTCTAGAAACAGGGTCAGTGCTGTTTCTCATGGGTCTGAAATGTGCCTTTTAAAGGAAGTGCTATCTGCATACCACAGTTGTCCATGTGCTTCCACCCCACTGCTGCTCAGCTTGCAATTGCTATTTTTATTTTTAAAAAGCAACCATCTTTTCTGTTCAAAAGATTCATAGAAGCCGGCGTTGGCTGCAGGAATTTGAGGGCCTTCCCTGGTGAAGCTGCTCCCTGGTCACTGTGACCAGCAGCTGCTCCTGCTCCTCATCCTCTTTCATGTCACTGCCACCCCTCACTTGCGCGACAGATGGAGAGCCAGGGAGCCTGCAGGCAGAGCAGCTCCTGCTCTTCCTCACCACCACCACCGTTACCTGGGCCAGGACAAGCAACAGGTGAACAAGGTGTTTGCAATGGTGAGAGGAGAAGTAAGTCCAAGGAGCCCTTGTCAGAGTCCAAGGTCTCTGTGGTTTCTGGGGTCTGGGCACTCCGCAGGTGCCCAGATCTGCCTACTCCTGATGCCAGACGACCAGGGCAGGATGTTAACACTGTTCAATTCCCTGCATCACTGCAGGTTTTTAAACAGGGACTGTTTGTGGATGTAGGTGCATGAATGTTGTACCTAGGGATGAGTGGCACAGAGAAATAATTCCATTTATGCTCTGTGGAGCTTTGACACACTTCCAGCCAGACAGCCCAAAGCAGATCGTGTCAGTAGAGAGGCTGTTTCAGCTTCCGTGAACAGTGCAAAGTATCTGTGCACCTTTGGAGCTGAGAACTGCACGTCTCTAGTGCAATTGCATGTATTTGCACAAACTGGATCTGACTTGTTCGATTCGTGTTGCTGTGACTTGTTCTAGAAGTAAGGAAGTGTCCTCCTCTCACTGCATGTGCACACACGACACTTTGGCCACCTTGCATTTTCTGACGGTTAATTATATATTTGTGCAAAATTCAGAGCTTTGTAGTTTGCACAAATGTATGCAAATTGTGGCATGGAGGCTCACATCTTGCACAATTTTTCCTTTCTTTTAGAAAACAAGCTCACAAAGTTAAAAACAGAAGTCTATATGTTAGCTCAGCTTGTGCCAGATCAAGACGGTGCCAGTGAGGGCTGACAGAAAAGGATTTATGGGGCTGATGGAGCAATCCATTGGATTTTTATCCATTTATTGGATTCCTCACAATTGTAATGCAATACTTTACAAGAGCAGAACCTGGAGAGGTTGTGCTTTGAAGGAGAAGCTTTCTAAGAACAACGTCTATGATGGGTTGCAATTATCATGAAATATAATTTCCTTTTTTTATTGGAGTACCTTTACTAGCTCATTCATCAAAGACAAAGAGTCTTGTAGGATTCTTCACTAGTGTTGAATTAATTAAACAAGGTAACTTGAATCATTGACCGTATTATGACCTCTGCAATGTTATAATGTCCAGTTTTGAGGACCACCAGCAGAGGTTGGTCCAGGGCACTGGTGGAAAGAGACAGCTCCCTGAGCTGTGTTAAGCTGCTCCTGGCAGTTCTCTAAACATGCATATGATCAAGCCCTCAAACTTGCATTGACATCTAGCTGAGGGCTGTACTCTGCTACCGATGATGCAAAGTACATTCACAACCCTTAATCTGGCATGGCCAATTTCAAGGGAACATTCCCCTTCAATATTTCCCACTGTCTTTCAGCCACAGTAAATTAGATTCCCATGCAAAGTGACACCCCCTCCCTGAAAAAAGATATACCAACCCCATGCAAGCTGAAGATTTTCCATAGTAACTCCTGTGCTCTAGACAGATTCTGGAGGAGTATTTGAACCCCTGGAAAATGTCTTGTTCCCCCTTCTCCCTTCAGGGTTCCATATTCACTTTCTGGGTTGTGCATATATGCAACTCTCATTTCCCAAATAAGATGATTTGTCAAAGAAAACCTTTTCTCCAAAGAACCTCTCCTGGCAAGGAATATGTTTTCTATTGGGGAAAAATGCATTCTCAATAAATTCTTGACTAACTTACTTAAATTTTCTCTGACAAATCCTTGAGGATGCTGAGAATGGCTGAGAGGTGTTGATTTTTGAGTTATTTGCTACTCTAAGGCTTTTATAAATTAAAATTTCAACAAAAGAAAAGGAAGGAAAAATGTGTGGCTGCATAGATTTGAATAGCATTTGAATCTACAGAGCATGCATATAAAGTGTGTGCTAGAGAGAGAAAGAGAGTGAGCGGGTGAGTGAGCGAGTGAGTGAATGAATGAAAAAGAAAGTACAGGTTCTAAGCTCCAGACCTCTCGTTTGTGGCCAGCCCCTTGAGACAGCCCCCGAGAGAGCAGGCTGGGGTGAGGAGCCGGTCGTGCCAGTTGGCTGGACAGGTGAGGAGCTGCCTAAGCAGGTGGCTGGTTGGCTCAGCTATGTGGGCAGGCTGGGGGGTGTGCAACGGCAGCGGCAATGCTGCCTTCCTTAGGCAGCAAACTCCATTAGCCTGGGCCTGATCCTGGACAGGTTCAGGATGCCCTGGCCATGCTGACCCAAGACATTTTGCTTCTTAAAAGGAGCCCGAATGCACCCTTTGCCCAAACACTTTTCAAAGCATCGTTGTACCATTCAGACACGCAGAAAAGGTGGGCCACCCCATCCTGCTCACTTAGCTTCCCCTCCCTGCTCAAGGGGTCAGCTGAGGCACAGGGCCTTGCCCTGCGGTGTGGAGGGGCCAGCCAGGGCCAGCCGTGGCCCGTGCAAATGGCACAGAATGCTTGAGAGCAGCGTTGGCAAATACGGTCCAAGCGCAGAGGGCCGGCTGAAATTCTCTTGACTGCATCAGACGCAGCAGTGTTGACCCCAAGACGCTGAGAGCCTTTGGGGAGGCGCCCTCGGTGGCTTCCTTCCCCAGTCGCCACCCGCTGCGTTTGCTCTTCGCCCTCTTTCCCGCCTTTGCTATTGCTTGTTTGCTTGTCAAGCTTTCAGAGGGTCGGGCTTCACTGTACTACCATCCAAGCTGGAGTGAGAAGCGGGTGCACAGGTGCCCTGCGGCTGTGAAGAGGAGGGGCAGCCCCAGGGACCTCCTGCCTCGGGGCCCCGGCCAGGGTGCGGGCTCTGGGCAAGAGCCAGACCAAGCCTACCTGTGGTGCCAACCCCGCAGCCAGGCCTACAAAAGCCCAGTCGTATGCAGAGGAGGCACGCACATCTACCACAAGCCAGCCGTTTGAGCTCGGAGTGGCTGTGTTGAACCTTGTACTGGGTTAACCAATAGAAATATTTCGAAGAACTAATTTCAGGGGTTTTCAATTCAGTCAAAAGATAAGACATAACCGGATAGACTCCAGCAGGCTCCAGAATGCCTCTGATTTTCTACTCTGCTCTTGTGGGCGCATGTCTTCACCTGAGTGCTTCATGCTGAACGATGGCCAGCGAGGAGCCACTGCTGATGAGAAAATTGGGTTATGTTTCTGAACTGGCGCTCTGATCTCTTTGCCAAGGGGGAGGCAAGCAAATTATTTCCACACAGGAGAAAACCATGGCATTGTATCATCTGCAAGTGGGTGGTGGGGGTGGTATCTTATTCTTCTGTTGGAAGCCCACCCCTGCTTGTTGTGGCCTTCTCCCAGAGCCAGGTTTCCTGTTGTAGCACTGATAGTCTCTCTCTCTCTTTCTCTCTCTCCTTGCCAGAGTTTGCCTACGGAGGGCACCCTTATACCTTCAGTGGGATTTTCGAAATCACACCGGGCAGTGCAGTAGAGCTTGGCGAGACCTTTAAATTCAAGTAAGGGCCTTCCTGCTCCTCTCCCCATCTGTCATCCTGCAGCTCTGGAGCAGTCAAGGGAACATCCCATGCTTCAGTCCGTCCTTCCATTCTCTCCTCTCACATTTACTTTTGCTTCTCGGTCCTTTGTGATAGTCAGAATGCGCACAAAGCAGCAGGATGTGGCTTTGAGAGGATGGCTTTGTGCTGCAAAAGTATCTTGAGTGTTTCCTGAAGGAAGGGGGAGGTCAGTCAGTTTTGCTTTCTCCTGATTGTTTTTAATCTTGTGTTCTTTCGCTCCCAAATTTCACAAAGTTTGGTACATTTTTATCAAACATGGCCTGAGGTAAAATTCTCATCCAGCCACACCAGAAGTACAACTATTTTTAGCACATCTAGGTGCATTTGTAGCACAACCATGATGCATCTGCCTGCCATGCAGTTAAAGCTGAAGAGCCTCTTAGAGGAAAGAGGTGGCAGCCCTAATTCAGCACTGCAAATGCGGTCAAATCCTCACGAATTCAAATCCGAACTTTTAAGAGCAAAGTACTCAAAGCACAGAGGACGGAATTGTCACTTTGGGTTTCTCCCATATTTCATTAAAAAAGTCAAGTTCTTTTCTTTTTGTTCTGCTTATGGAGAACTTTGCTAATTTTGGTAAATTCTTGTCAAACACAAACTGAAATAAAATTCTCACCCACCCCTAGGTTTATAGCATCATTTAAAACAACACAGGTATCTGAGACACTTAAACCTGCTTTTGTGCTCTAGTGAATGTAGTACATACCTTTGACTGGGGAAACTCAGGTTTGGACTCCCATTTAGCCATGAAGGTTGACTGAGTCACCCTGGCCTAGTCACAGTTTCTCAGCCTACCCTACCTCACAGGGCTGTTGAAGCAACAACACGGGAAAAAACATGTGCTTTAAGCACTTCTTAAAGTTAAGGTAGGATATGAATGACAATAAATAAGTGCTACAACCTGAAACATGCAAAGAAGCAGTGAAGGAACTGGACATTCAGAGCATGTGCAGAGTTTGCCTTCCCCTGCACTGAATGCCCACATGTACCAACCTTTTTAAGGGCACTAGGGCAGCTGCTAATTTGATTGTAGCACTACTTCACTGGGTCATAGTAACTTGAAATGTCTGAATCAAAATTGTGTAATTGCTTGACCCTTGCCGTATCCATGTCCCAAGGTGAGGAAAACAAAATGAGTGACCAGCATAAGCTGTGCAGGACCATCAGATCTGGCATATTTATCCAAATCCTAGAAGCAGTGGTCTCCATGGAAAGTGACCAACTACTCGCCCGGGGTGGCTTTTGCAGCATTTGGGCTTTTTACCACCCCCTGATATTCAGCACAGCTCAGGTATACGGTGGCCCAGTTCATCAGAGTCAGTCCGCAGGTCAACAGCCCTCCCAATCCACACTAGGCCTCCCTGAAAATGAGCAGCAGCAGCAGCAGCCAAGAGCATGGCAGTTAATCCCGTTTGATGGAATCAAAGATATCAGGAGTTCTCTAAAAATCCAGCAATTAATAAGGTTGTGTGAGGAATCGGCACTGAGGGTGAGAATCTGTTGCATTCCCATAGCTCGTCTCCCCAGACTCCAACCTGACTCGGCACTGAGCACACCCAGTGTTCACGTGGGCCCCTGCCAGGGGCTGAGTCCCACACTAAAGCTGCGTGAAGCATCTTTCTTCCACGCATGTGGCTTGCAGCTCATGCCACAGAAGGAGGTTGCCGGTTGCGCAACTAGAGTTTCGCGATTGTTTGCGGACTTCCTTTTGGCTCCTCTCACTTTCTAAGAGAGGGCCAAGCATGAGAAGTTTGCCCAACAAAAGAAGACGGCTGGGATTAAAAAGAGATCATTGCAACCCCATGGCCCTGTGAATTTCCTGGGGACACAATAGGACTTACTTCAGAGTAACTATGGATAGGCACTGTAAAGGCACAATCCTAGGCATAGTTAGACAGAAAAAGGACTGGAATTTCCAGAGTACCGCAGCCAACCATGGCTGGAGCATGCTGGGAATTATAGACCTTTTTTCTGCATAAACATGGTTTGGACTGCATTGGAAGTCTTCTGCTGTAGGGCTATAATCCTCACAGGATTCCTGCATGGATGACTTCGTTCTCCATGAAGTATACACTGACTGATGAAATAGTCAGAATTGTATCATGTGCATTAAACAGATCTGAAACTCTGTGATGTTTCAGTGCAAAATGATGGTCCTGGATGCTCAGTCAGTCAAAGCACCATTTCTTGTGCATTGCTATTTTGTTTTTCTTTTCCAGGAGGATGTAAGCACAGGCCCTGGTTTTGGGGTGGGAATGTGGGGCTGTAGGTAGAATCAACCTATACCATTTCCAGCCTGGTATCCTCCAAATATATTGGGTTAGAACTTCTGTTATCTGAAATGAAGGATGATGGGAGCTGTAGAGCAAACACATCTGGAGGGTACAAGCTTGGGGAAGGATATTTTACAAGTGCTACTTTCTACATCATTTAAACTTACATTTTGACACTCTTCTTTGATGTTATTCTATCGTATGTTCTCTGTCCTTAATAGTAACCTTTTCTTTCTCTTTTTGCAACCAGAGAATCTATTGCCTTGGGCACCACAGACTTCACAGAAGAGGATGTGGATAAAATCATGGAGGAACTGGGCAAGGAGTACAAGGGCAATGCCTACCACCTCATGCACAAGAACTGCAACCACTTCTCAGCTGCTCTGGCAGAGGTTGGCTTGCCTTCCCTTTATTTTCTGTGCCATGTTTCGCAGCCCTCCGGCAATGCGTGTGAGACTATGTGGGCAAGCAGACTCCAGCCATGAATAAACAGAGCATTCTCATGAATCGCTATAGCAGCCAGACGGACATTTCCAAGGTGCAGCACTGTGTCAAGTGGAGACACCGGGAATGGGGGGTGGCTAATCGTGGGTAAGGCTCCTCTCTGACAGCTGTGATTGCGAGCTGAGTGTGGCTTGCCACAGCTGCCAACCAGCCCCTGCGGTGCAGACAGGACTCATGCCCTGAAGTGCAGCAGGAGGAACAGGGTTGCTGATCAGGCAGCCTCACTTTCCGCTGCAGGAGTAACCACTAGGGAAGGCAGCAGCGGGGAGTGGGGAGGTCTCTGGGTAATGCTCAAGTGAAAGAGGGGAAATCAGCTGGGTGGTGCTACAGAAAGGAGCTGTTCTTGACAAGCAGCTCTCTGATTCTGGCCTTGGTGTCATGATGAATTGCTCTTTCTGACGACACAAGAAGTCATCAAGGTACTGAGCAATCATAGAACGGACTGTTGCTTCTGTTCTTGGTTTCTAAAGACCCCGTGTATGGGGTTTAAACAACAGACTGACAATGGTTAAAAAAAAACAACCCGCCATGGTTTGTCGTGTGCAAACCTGTCCTGTTTGCAGTGATGCCTTAGTAATTCTTGGAATGAGAAGCAGTTTTATTTGCCAATTGCAACTTTCTCTTGGGGAACCCGGTAACTTTTCAGATGTGCCACTGAGCATCTTTAAACCCTTGATCCAGATGCAACACTGCCCTGTGCAGCTGCTTCTACTGCTCTTCAGCTGTTTGGCCTATTTGCATAGCAATTCCCTACTGGTATAACCCTACCCCGGGTTGATACCATAGTCAATAGAATGGTGTCCTGATCTCACCCAATTAGGGCCTCAGAGTGCTTCCAGGAGAAACTTGGATTGTGCTATTAGAAACATAGAAACAGAGTGAGTCAGAAGGGGTCTCCTGGGCCATCTAGTCTGACCCCCGGCTCCAGCTGGCTCCACTTGTGACGTGCCTACCATGTGCATGTCCAGCCTATCCTTAAACAGCCTCACCTCTAGGGCTTTCAACCACCTCTAGGGGTCCTAACCATCAGGAAGTACTTCCTGGCATCTACCCTAAATCTTGGTTCTCTGAGATTTGCTCCACTGGAACATGTCCTGCCCTCCACTGCAGGGGAAAAAAGGTAATGACTCACCTCTGCATGACCCCCCCCCCCACATACCTGTATGTCGCAAACAGGTCCCCTCTGAGTCTCCTGCTCTCCAGGCTGAAGAGAAGCAGCTCCCTCAGTCTCTCCTCATATGGCTTACCCTGCAAATCAGCCACCATCCTAGCTGCCCTTTGCTGTACTGACTCTAACCTGGCTATATTCCTCTTGTAATGAGGGGCCCAGAATTGAACATAATACTCCAGTTGTAGGTGTACCAGAGTTGAATAGAGTGGCAGTAAAACCTCTCTCGATCTAGAATTTCCAGTCTCCATCACAGAATTTTATGGGGGGGGGGGAGGATATCCACACAATGTCAACCTCCATTTGCAACGCAACCTTGTCTTTTTTTTTTTTAACCGTGGAAAAATTCTTAATAAGGGAAAGAAGAGTGAGGAGCCATTCAGCTAGAAGTGCCCCAGTCTCAGTCAGACACATGTTTAATGATTCATCCTTTGCCCTAGGAACAAAAGCCCTCTGAACAAGAGCTTTGACCAGAAACAGACTGTGTTCAGCCGGTGTTTCCTCTGCTCCCTTTCATGAGCTGTATAATCAAACACAGATGATGCATCAGCCCTTATAGCTGATCCCAACTGCTCTCACTGTGGATGCATCCTAAGATGATGGCACTGTGATCAGGAAATAGATTCACAACCTTTCCTCGTTCAAAATGCATCCTTGTTGAAATGACAAGGCAAGGCTAGTCTGACCAAAGAGCAACTACGTACATTCCTCTTTAGCAAGGAAAAAAAGCTTTCAAGTGTGATATCTTTCAGATCCGCATGGGCAATCTGTATCAAGTGCTACAGAAAATGTCATAAACTGCTGTTCTCTTGGAGCAGCTCCCCATCCCCTCAGTTAGTTATGTGCCTCATGGCTGCCATGAAACTGTTCTGCGTGTTTTTATTTTTGTTCTACCATAATTAAAGTAGAAGAATGGAAAAGGCCAAATCAGTCATTCTGACCTGCTTGTTAGTCTCCAGGGCCGCAAGTGAAAGAAGCAGCAAGCTCGCGAATCAGTTTCCTCATCATGGAAACATGTTCTCAAAGATGTCTGTTTTGATAATCGGCCGTGCTACCCGGAGATGGTGACTGGGGGCCTCCAGATATTTCAGCCTGTAGCTCCCACGGTCCCTCACCACTGGCTCTGCCAGCTACAGCTGATGGCAGCTGAAGACCAAAGCCTCAAGTTGCCCACCCTTGTGTCTGGCTCCAGCTATGCACGTTGAAGCGTGAATGGCCTCTCCTTCTTCACTCTTCCCCTGCCACTCACTCCCCACAGGCATCCTCCCTGTCCCCCTGCTGCTTGGGGTTTAGACTTCTGCTTACAAGATGAATACTGGTAGACAGAAAATACTAGAAGGCAGAAGAGAACTTGGGGGTGGGGGGAAATGCAGAAGGAAAGCAGTTAGCAGAGGAAGAGTTAAGCACTTCGTTTTCGCTGGATACATACTGCCCCCTTCCTAAGGGTATTTTACGATGGAAAGTGCTTCTTTACTTGTGACTGTGATGAAATCGTTTTTTAAGAGGTCAAATTACTCAGGTAAATGGAGATCTACCTCCACTGTAGTCTTGGAGAGGGGAAATGGGCTGTGTAGGTGTGTAATGTGTTCTTCCCTTACAAGACTCTGTGGGATGTTGAGACATAATTAAGCACCTCCAGTCATTTTCACTACATCTTCTCTTTCCTTTTCCCTTTCTCTCCCTCTCTCTTTTTAAGGAAGCAAGTAGATGTATTTTAAGTTGGGAGTTATTGCACTTTAGCACAGCATTCAAGTGCAATTATTATTTTGAAGCTTCCTTGCTCCTACACTTTTCTCCTTGGATCTGATTCATAAAGTGGATGGGGAAAAACATTAGCATCTTAGCAACAAAACCCTCTTCTCTTTTTCAGGCACCAGCAGCATGGCACACATTTTGGAGGTTGTATTCGATGGTGGCTTACAAGGGCTGAGCAGGGCTGTCGAGGAAAGGACACTTTGAGGGCACTCATTCATAGGTTGGCCAACAGTTGGAGATGACTTGATGGCACATCACATCAACATCCAGTAGGGCTTTGTCTTAATGAAAGACATTTCCATTTGTGGAAGCCAAAGAGGATGGTTTTCACCAGTTCCATTGCATGATGTCTCTTTGAAAGGCAAGCCAAGACCTAGCATGAGCTGGCCATGAGAAGAAACAGTTTTTCTTTTGCAGCAGAATCCTGTAGGGGTGATAGACCTACAAGACTAGTCAGCAGTGGTGCAAAAAGTAAAATTTGAGATGCAGCTCTCATCATGATGGTCCCTTTGGCTACATTTCACCCCACTCCACCCATGAGAATTCAAAAACAACTAGTACTACACATTTTCATCTCTTCCAGCAGCAAGTCTTTTATCAATATAATGGGTCTTCATTTCACATTACAGGCCAAGACACCCCCAAATACTTGGCATCCCAACAGGGAGCAATATAGTTTGGCTGGGAAAAGCAGTTTCTCCCCAAGCTACTGTGAGGAACGAGTCTAAGCCTGGAGGGAACATGGAGATCTGAGCAAGGCGGAAGAGGCCATCAGCATCCCTGGCTAATGAGAAAGTGCTGGCGCCACCTCTCTGAGCACAGGTTCCATTGCGTCTTTGCAGGGGGTAGAGCAGTGCTGGGCCTAGACAGACCCTTAGCAATTCTCCATTAAGCTGCAGGAGTTCTTTTTCCTCCAGTCCAAGTTGTCTGCCCTAGACTTTCACTAGTTAATTGTAGTAATAAATAGTTTTCATTCTTGTGGAGGCTGTAGTACCCATGATGGGCTGTCAGGTCAGTTCTGCAGCTTTTTCATGATCTCTCAGTGACAGCCAAAGATAGCTCCCCAGAGGTGCCAAAAATATGCACAATTATTTTGGGGGTTTGTTTTGGTTGGTCTTTCACAGCAACTGTGAAATCTGTCAAAACAGCCTCATTTAGCCCTGTCAAAAACTCTGGCTAAACAAGCAAGCAAACAAACCTCTCTTTTTGACAGCTGTCAAAAGTCTGTCTTTGCAAAAGAGGAGGTATATATCTTACCTTTCTAGAGTACCTAGAGGCTCAGGAAAGTGTGGAAAGGGGAGGGGGCACTGAAAATTGTTGGGGCAATACTTAAAAACACATTGTCAAAAGGAAGGTCTACCAGCCATCTGAATTCATACACAAAGTTCCCTTTCTGGTTTTGCTTTCCAATTGACAGCTCACTGTGAAGTGAAAAACAAAGCAACAAATTAACCCATCAGCCATCTTGTATTGTCAGTGTTCACAGATGTTGCCTCCTGAACTTTGTCAGGAGACATTTACCAGACATTGACCAGGCCAGACTTTACATTTCAGCTATTTGGAGGTGTGCAGTTTAAAGACTGATCAAAAATAATAATTTTACAAGGTGGTGAACCAGTAACAGTTGCTCCAATGTGCAATGGGAGACATCACAAAAAGGCTCCAAACGAAAAAGGGAAGGGGGAGGCAGCTGCAACAACAAAAGGGGGGTCAAAATTGGAGTGAGGAAAGATGTATTCCCTCACTAAATCCCCTGGAAACCGGCAAGAGAACCAAAGGGGAAGTGGGGACAACCCACAGTGAGTCCATTTGTCTTCAGGTGCACTATGGGTGAATAGCCCAGATTACACAGCTTATTTGCAGAGTGGGCTGCCATGTCAGACAAATTTGCCCTAAGTCTTAGGAGAGACATTCCAACCTTGTAGAATGAGGAAAAACATTACAAATGCCAGGAAGCCATCAAAT